TTTATTTCTTGCTCTAATTTTTATTATTTCTCTCCTTTGACTGACTTTGGGCTTTGTTTGTTGTTCTTTTTCCAATTCAATTAGGTGTAGTTTGAGATTGCTTATTTGGGATTTTTCTTGTTTGTTAAGGTGAGCCTGTGTTGTGATGAATTTCCCTCTTAATACAGCTTTTGCTGCATCCCATATGAGTTGGTATGATGTTTTCATTTTCATTTGTTTCCAGATATTTTTTGATTTCCCCTTTAATTTCGTCAATGATCCATTGGTTGTTCAATAGCATGTTGTTTAGTCTCCACATCTTGTCCCTTTTTCAGCTATTTTCCTCTAATTAATATCTAGCTTCATAGCATTTTGATCAGAAAAGATACTTGTTATTATTTCAATCTTCTTAAATTTATTGAGGCATGCCTTGTTTCCCAACATATGTTCTATTCTTGAGAATGTTCCATGAACACTTGAAAAGAATGTGTATTCTGCTGTTTTTGAATGGAGTGTTCTATATATGTCCATTAAGTCCAACTGGTCTAGCTTTTCATTTAATTCCACTGTTTCCATGTTAATATTCTGTCTGGATGATCTATCCATTGATGTGAGTGGAGTGTAGAGGTCCTGTACTATTATTGTGTTATTATTAATAGCTTCTTTTAGGTTTGTTAGTAGTTGCCTTATGTACTTTGGTGCTCCAGTGTTGGGTGCATAGATATTTATAAGTGTTATGTCTTCTTGGTGGAGTGTCCCTTTCATCATTATATCCTGCCCCTCTTTGTCTCTCTTTACCTGTCTTATCTTGAAGTCTACTTTGTCTGACGTAAGTATTATGACATCTGCTTTCTTTTGTTTGCCATTTGCTTGGAGTATTTTCTTCCGTCCCTCACCCTGAGCCTGTGTTTGTCGTTGGAGCTGAGATGTGTTTCCCGGAGGCAACATATTGTTGGGTCTTATTCTTTAATCCATCTTACCACTCTGTGTCTGTTTTTTTTTTTTTTTTTGAGGAAGATTCGCCCTGAGCTAACATCTGTGGCCAATCCTTCTCTTTTTTGCTGAGGCAGACTGGCCCTGAGCTAACATCCATGCCCATCTTCCTCTACTTTATATGTGGGACACCTACCACAGAATGGCTTGACAAGCGGTGCGTAGGTCCACACCCGGGATCCAAACTGGCAAACCCCAGGCCACCAAAGCAGAACATGTGAACTTAACCACTGTGCCACTGGGCTGGCCCCTACTCTGTGTCGTTTCATTGGAGAATTCAATCCATTTACATTTATGGTGATTACAAATATATGAGGGCTTACTGCTGCCATTTTATCACTAGTTTTCTGGTTCTCCTGCATTTCCTTTGTTTCTCGTCCTGTGAATTTTGGTCTACCAGTCAAGTTATGTAGTTTTTTATGTTGTATTTCTTTGTTTTTTCCTTATTTATTATTTGTATCTCTGTTCTGCTTTTTTGTTTAGTGGTTACCATGAGATTTGTATTCAAAATCTCATAGATAAGATAGTCCATTTTCTGATGGCCTCTTATTTCCTTAGACTAAACAAATTCAGTCCCTTTCCTCTTCCCTCCCAAGTTGTTTTTCTCACATTTTATTCCATCTTGTGTTGTGAGTTTGTCATTAAAAGGACAAGATTATCTTTGTTTTTGGTGTTTTCCTTCCCTTTATCTTTTATGTTATTCTTGAGTATTTGCTAACCTATTCTGATGTACAGCTACAATTTTCTGATTTTTGTCTACCTATTTGTCTCCTTACTCAGTGCTTTGTAACCCCTTTCTCCCCTTTTTTTTCAGGTATGAGAGCCTTCTTGAGGATTTCTTGTATTTTGAGGGGGTGGGTCTCGTTGCTATGAACTCCCTTAGTTTTTTTTTAATCTGGGAAAGTTTTTATTTCTCCATCATATCTGAAGGATATTTTCACTGGATAGAGTATTCTTGGCTGAAAGTTTTTGTCCTTCAAAGATTTGAGTATGTCATTCCAGTCTCTCCTAGCCTGTAAGGTTTCTGCAGAGAAATCCGCTGAAAGCCTGATAGGGGTTCCTTTATAGGTTATTTTCTTCTGCCTTGCTGCCCTTAATTTTTTTTCTCTGTCATTCAGTTTTGCCAGTTTCACTACTACATGCTTTGCAGTACATCTTTTTACTTTGACATATTTAGGAGATCTGATACCTTATTCCACATGGATTTCCATCTCCTTCCTCAGGTTTGGGAAGTTCTCTGTTATTATTTCTTTGAACATGTTTTCTCTTTGATTCTCCTTCTCTTCTCCCTCTTGAATACCTATAATTCTTATGTTGCATTTTCTAATTGAGTTGGATATATCTCAGAGACTTTCTTCATTTCTTTATAGTCTTAATTCTCTCTCCTCTATCTGGAGCATTTCAACATGTCTATACTGTATTATGCTGAATCGCTCCTCTATGATGTCTGCTCCAGCATTTGGGGAATCCATATTTTATCTCATCGATTGTGTCTTTCATCTCCAATATTTCTGATTGATTCTTCTTTATAGTTTCAATCTCTTTTGTGAACTAGCTCCTAAACTCATTGTTTCTCTACATTCTCTTTTAACTCGAGTTTTTTGATGATAGCTATTTTGAATTCTCTGTCATTTGGATTACATATTTCTGTGTCTTCAGGACTGATTTCTGGGAACTTGTCATTTTCTGTGTGGTCTGGAGATTTAATATAATTTTTGATACTGCTATAGGCTGTGGCTCTGTTTTTGCACATCATTCTGTTATTTGGTCGCAGTTACTGCCTTTCGCCACTGGGTGGGAGTCAAGAGCCATGTATTCTGAGCCCTCTGCCTACCCCCAAGATCCCAGGCACTGGAGCTGGTGCTTGGCAGGTGGGGGTGAGGGGCGCTTTCTTCTGCCTGCTCTCAGGATTTTCTCACTGTGCCCTCACTCTCTACTCTCCTGTGGTGTTGGCTTGATGAGGTCACTCCCACATTAGTTTTCACTTCAGTAGGGGCTTTCCCCTAGACTGCAAGGGCCCTCAGGAACCTTTGATGTCCCCTTGAGCAAATGTCCCCTCCCCCATTCCTTCCCTCTCAGTGGCTGCCTGCAGTCCCGGATCGCAGTCTTTTGTGGAAGGAGCAAAGTTTTCTCTTACCCCATTCCACCTCTTCCAAGGGGGGCTCCAGCCTCTCCGCCATCCATCGTATGGCTGCGTGGGTCTCTCAGACATCTTTTGTGTTGTGTTTGGATGTCCTCTGTTGAAGTACAAATGTCTTTTTCTTTTTATGGTGGAGGGAAGAGATTACTGGGAAAGCTAACTCTGCCATGATGCTGATGTCACTGCCTGTTATCATATATTCATTTCTGATTGGTTCTTTTTTTCATTTTCCAATTCTTTGTTGAAGTTCTCACTGTATTCATCTAATCTTCTCTCAAGATCAGTGAGCATCCTTATGACTGTTAGTTTGTACTCTTTATCAGGTAAATTGTTTATCTCTATTCCCTTTAATGCTTTTTCTGGGGATTTGTTCTGTTCCCTTATTTGGAATATATTCTTTTGTCTCTTCATTTTCCCCACTTCTCTGATCTTATATCTATGTATTAGGTAGATCAGCTATGTCTTCCAATCTTGGAAATATGGCCTTATGTAAGAGAATATGGCTTTATGTAAGAGATGCTTTATGGGGCCCAGCAATATGCTTCCCTCTTTTTTTTTTTCTTTTTGCTTGAGGAAGATTAGCCCTAAGCTACTATCTGTGCCAGTCTTTCCTCTATTTTGTGTGTGGTTTGCAGCCACAGCGTGGCTGACAAGTGGTGTCAGTCTACACCTGGAATCTGAACCCACAAACCTGGGCCATGGAAGCAGAGCACACCAAATTTAACCACTATGCCACAGGGCCGGCCCCCTGTGCTTCCCTTTTGTCACCTGTTTCAAATGTTCCAGGAGTGTCCCCTGCATGGGCTATGTGTGCCCTTGTCTACAATGGCATTGCTCTTGTTGTGGGTGCACGGGTAGGCTAGTCTGGTCCCCAGGTCAGCTGGTTGTAAGGCTCAGCTGTGTGTGGCTGCTGTGGTCACTTTACCGCACAGTGTAAGCCCTTGCATGTTGGGCTACAAGGTCTAATAGCACTCAAATACTGCAACTAAGCAAGTCAGGCCCCCAGGGTGGCTGGTTGCTAGGCTCAGGGGCTCACAGTTGCTGCAGGCCTCTGGTGTGGTTCCATGCAGCTCTCATCGGCTCTCTCAAAAGTACAGATGGATCGGGCTGGCACCAGACTTGGCAGCACATAATTATTTCAGGCGTTGGAAAGCAGGGCAGATCCCCTGTGTAGCTGTTTGAGGTGGCCAGCAGCACAAGTCTGCTGCAGCCAACATGCCCCACCCATGGGCCCAGACACCCCACTAACACAGGCCCACCCCGTATGCACACCCCACTGAGGTGAGGTAGACCCATTCCACTCCCCCGACTGCAGAGGTCCCACACACCCTGTCCACACAAGCCCACAAGTTCACCTCAGGCTTGCGGGTGGGCAGGGCCAGTCCCTGGGGTGGGCTGCCTGCCCTGGCTGTACTCAATTGTATAGGTGCTCTAGTGGGTAGGGCAAACCCCTGCACTAACAGGCTAGAGGAAGGAATCCAATGGCATCTGGCAGAGTCTGTGTCAGCAGGACTGATCTAGGTCACCATAATGACGGCTGCCAGTGTCTCAGTCCTTGTAGGGGTGGGCCCAGCTGCCTCTTGCCTCTCTGAGATGTGCTCAGAGCTTAGTAAGTGAGTCTCTTTTATCAACAGAGTATGCACTTTTCTTGTGTTTTTGTGTTGGTTTCCAGAATGGGTGAATCTGTGTGTGTGCCCTTTAAGAGCAGATTTTTCTTTCTCTGAAGTTTAAGGATTTTTCTGAGGATATTCCTCTTTGGTTTTCAAAGCTAGCAAACCCAGGTATTATGGGATCTCATCTCAGTTTGCTGAATCTAAAGACTGGGATGCCTATTGTGGCACAGATCCCACACTCAGATTCCCCCGCCCCTCCAGGAGAAGCTTCATACCTTTAAGATTGCTCCTTGCCATGAAGTGCCGTGGCTAGGATGTGGGTTTTTTCCTCCACAGAGGTGTGTTTCTGCCTCTTCCACCCTGTCAGTGTTGTCCCTTGTTGTGGGGGTTCTTTTTATCCAGCGTCCAGATCTCTCTCAGGAAATTGTTCTACAGGTAGTTGTAGATTTGTCATCTCCATGGGAGGAGGTGAGTTCAGAGTCCTCCTATGCCACCATCTTCCCCAAATCCTGGAGAAAACCTTAAAGGAAGCCAGAAAAATAAAGAAACATTACATAAAGAGGAACAAAGTCAAAAGTGAGAATAGGCATCTTTCAAAAACTGCAAGCCCAAAGATAATACAGTGACATCTTTAAAGAGCTAAAAGAAAATATCAACCTAGAATTCTATTACCAGCAAAAATATCCTTCAAAAATGAAAGTGAAATAAAGACTTTCAGACGAAAGTTGAAGGAATTAATTGCCAGCAGACTTGTACTACAAGAAATATTAAAGGAAGTTCTTTAGGCAAAAGGAATATGAAACCAGGGGAATATTTGGATTGATACAAAGGAATAAAGAGCATTGGAGATATGAAATCTTATTTTTTGTCTCTTTAAAAGATAATTCACTTTAAGAGAAAGATAGTAACAATTTATTGTGGAGATACAATGGAATCGTGAAAATTCAACCACGGGCAATAAAAGAAGAAAAAGTAACAAAGATCACATGGGACAAATCAAAAAAAAAAAACGAAGATGGTAGATTTAAACCTAACCATAGTGATTATCACATTAAATGTAGATAGACTAAACGTTCCAATTAAAAGACAATATCAGATTGGATTTTTTTTAAAAGGCAAGACTCAAATTATATGATGTCTTCAAGTAACACACTATAATTTTAAGGCATAGATAGGCCCAAAGTAAAAGGATGGGAAAAGATATGCCATTCCAACACTAATCAAAAGAAAGCAGAAGTAGTTATGTTAATGTGGAACAAAGCAGATGTTAGAACAAGGAATGTTATTAAGGGTAAGATAAGACATTTCATAATGATAAATCGCTGAATTCATTAAGAAGAAAACATAATACTAAATGTGTATGTACCTAATAATGTTTTCAAAATACATGAAGCAAAAACTAATAGAATTGAAAAGAGAAATAGATAAAATCAAAATTATAGTTTGAGATTTGAGCATTCTTTTCAAGTATACATGGAACCATTGTAGAGCATATTCTGAGCCACAACACAAATCTCAATTTGAAAAGATTAAAATCATACAAACTATGTTCTCTGTCTTGAGTAGAATTGAACTAGAATAACAAAGACACCTGGAAAATCCCAAAGCATTTACAAATTAAACAACACCCTTCAAATTTCTTACACATCAAAGATGAAATCACAAGATATTAGAAAATACTTTGGGGGGCCCGCCCCATGGCCGAGTGGTTAAGTTCACGCTTTCCACTTCGGCAGCCCAAGATTTCATCAGTTCAGATCTTGGGCACGGACCTTGCACCACTCATCAAGCCACGCTGAGGCGGCGTCTCACATGGCAGAACTAGAAGGACCTACAACTAAAACACACAACTATGTACTGACAGGCTTTGGGGAGAAGAAGGAAAAAGAAAAAGATTGGCAATAGATCTCAGGGCCAATCTTAAAAAATAAAACGAAAGAAAATACTTTGAACCGATTGAAAATGGAAGCACAACACATCAAAATGTATGCTTTTAAAAAAAAAGGAGTGCCTTGAGGGAAGTTTGTAGCATTAAATGCATATATTAGAAAAGAATACAGAAATCAGTGATCCGAGCTTCTACCTTAAGAAACGAGAGGAAAAAAGAATAAAATAAATCCAAAGTAAGCAGAAGAAGGAAATAAAGTGAAAAGTCAATAAAACAGGAACATAATAGAAAAAATAAATCAAAGACTGTTTGAAATGATTAATAAAATCAGTAACTCTCCAGTCAAACTTAGAAAATAAGACACAAATTAACAATGTCAGAAATAGAAGAATGGATGTCACTAAAGATCCTACAGATTGATAAGATCATTATGAACAACTTTATTCCAATAAATTCTACCATTTAGGTGATATGGAGAAATATTTTGAAATACACAAACGGCTAAAGCTCACACAAGTAGAAATATATAACCTGAATTGTCTAAATCTATGAAAGAAATTGATGTCATAGTTAAAACCTTTCCACAAAGAAAGCTCCAGGCCCAGGTGGCTGCATTTTTTAATTCCACCAAATATTGAAGGAAATAATGTTACCAATTCTACACAAATTCTTTCAGAAAATAGAAGAGAGGGAACATCTCCCACCTCATAGAAAAACCTAAAGAGTTTACAAAAGAGCTACTACAACTAAAAAGTTGAGGCATAGAGAGTTTAGCAAAGAACAGGATACAGAGTTAATATATAAAGAACCAATCATATTTCTTTGTCCTAGCAACAAACAATTAGAAGTTAAAATGAAAATATACCTGATTTCAGCTAATTTAAAATAAAATAAAAGAATTTCATAATTAGATTGCCTGGGTACAAATCAGAGCCCTATCATTTACTAGATATGTGATCTTCAAAAAATTTAAAATTTGTCTATGCCTCAGTTTCATCATTTTCATAACAGTTATATAATTGCACCTGCATCTATAGGGTTGGTAAGAAAATACACGGACTTTGTCCTTAGCCCAGTGCCTGCCACAGAGTAATCAATATTAGCTGTGAGCACTCAGAGACACTGAGTGGCCTCCTCAGGTCAGGGTGGGATGTCCGTTCTCTACCCCAGCCCCCCTCATTTCTTAAAGGTGTCCTTTGGAGCTAGAAGCAGAAGGGAGCACCCCCATTTCACAGATGGGGGAAGTTGAATTCAGCGTTCAGCCATTTAGTCAGCAACAGGCATGGCGAAGAAGAGGGCTCTAGTGGGCACCATTCCCTCAGGCAGGCGAAGAAGTGGGAGGGAACATAAGCACAGCTCCCACAGGGCTGTTTCTGTCACAGACATGGACATCCCGCTGCCTAATGAAGTTCTACGCTGTGGTGGCTGCCTCACCTACATCCTGGGACAGCCACAAGATTGCAGAGAGGATCGAGCAACGAATCTTGAACTCCAATCCTGTCATGGAAGCCTTTGGTGAGCTCAGTGCCCTCTGCACAGTACCTCAGTCCCATTTCCTCTGGGATTCGCCACCTCCCAGGGAGACGAGCAGTGCTTTGAGACCCTCTCTGGAGGTTCACTGCCTTGGACCCCCCAACCTCCTCCCAGGTAGCAATAACCTCTTTCCAGTACAGGTGATGTCATTCAGCCGTCCCCTCCCTCTAGCCCAGGCAGATGTAACAGTGGTGCTGGAGAGGACCTGTGGCTCACCTAGTCCAAATCCTGTACAGTTTCCTCATGGTTCAGAGAAGAAGGAAACTTATCTACAGATTCGCAATAATTCGTGTCCATGTTGGGTCTTTAATCCAGATGTTGTGCCTTACTGTCTAACTCAATAGTGACAGCTTGTTTTGATCTTTTCCCTTCAAAAAAGACAGTCCCTGACTGCCTAGGCTTGCTCATTCCAGTTCATTGCAAGGAAGTTCTTCTAACTCTCCTGAATCGCACTTGCTGAGGCCAAGTGCCTTCTCCCTAGTCCTGTCCCCTGTGATGTGGAAAACAACAAAGGGGCCCTTAGGTGACTTGAGGAGAGGGACATGCCCCCAGCTGACCTGCGGCCACCTTGGCCCATGAGGACTCTAAACGGGAGTGGGATAAATGCAGGTGTGATCTGTAGGGAATGCCTGCACGCTGAGGAATAACAACAGCAGTCGCTTTGGGAAGTTCATCCAGCTCCAGCTGAACAGGTAATCGCTGCTGCCACCCTGGCTGGTGGGAGGATGGGGCAGGGAGTTTGAAAGTGGCTGGGGCAGTCTCCAGCCTGGGCCACCCCTATGGACAGAACCCTGCTCCTTGTGGCACGTGTGTATGTGGGATAAATGAACCTGAGCCTGATCTCTGAACCTGGAAAATTACTGCTACTCCAGCCTTAGGGACCCAGGGGCAGTGTGCTTGTCACAGCCCATGTATTCCTCCTGGCTTCTACCCTTGCTCAGGGACTTCTAGTTAAAATGCTACCTGTCTGGGCCACACCTGTGTACTTGAAGCTGGGACTTCTGCTCCTGCCTTGGGATGGGGCAAAATGATGTACAGAGGCCTTGGCCCTGCCCGTCTGAGCTGGGTGCATGAGAATATCCCAGACCACCCGAAGATTTGCTGAGTGGTCCCTAGTCCTCATGAGCCCTACTGGCTAAGTGGAAGCGCTTGGTGGGAGTTGCTAGGTTGCAGTCTGGCACACAGTAAGTGCCTAATAAATGGCTGTGGAATGAATGGACAACTAATGAGCCCTGGCCTGCTTGTGTCCAGTGCCCAGCAGATGACCGGAGCTGCAGTCCAAACCTACCTCCTAGAGAAAACTCGAGTGGCCTGCCAGGCCTCCAGTGAGAGGAACTTCCACATCTTCTACCAGGTTTGTGCTAGGCTGGGCCCAGAGCTGCCCAGGTGCAGGGTAGATATGGGTCTGTGCCTCTAAGCCCTTCCTCCACCGCTCCCCCGCAATGCTTCCTTCCTGCCTCTTCACCTGGCTTTCAGCAACGCCACCACTTACTCCTGCAAACTTTATGCAACACTTCTGCCTCACACTGGACCCTGGCTCCCAGCATGGTTTTGGCAGGGGGTGTGTTTTGCCTTCTGTCAGACCAAAAGGTCCTTGAGACTGGGACTGTCATCCTTGTCAGACTGAGAACTCCTGGGATGGCAGCTGTCTCCTCCGACAGAACAAGAACTTCCCTGGAGCTGTGCCTCTTCCATCAGACTGGGGGTCCCCCAAGGCATGGAGAGTATGTCTCCCTGCTCTCAGATTCGGACTGGGGACTCCCAGACAGGAGTTGTGCTTTCCTCAGACTATAGGCCTCAGCAGAGTTTTTTGCATTGAGCTGGAGATATCCAGAACTGTTTGCAGCTTTTTTGCCCCCATGCCTGCCCTGGGCTCTCTACAGGGACCTCTCAGCCTTGTGATGTCACTGGCATTTCTCACTCCTCTCATCCCAGTCCCAGCCTATGCAGGCCTGGGCTTGCCTCACACTCCTAGCTCAGCCACCCGCCCACCCCTCCCCACAGATGTGCAAAGGAGCCAGTGCGGATGAGCGGCTCCAGTGGCACCTCCCCAAGGGAGCTGCCTTCTCCTGGCTCCCCAACTCAGAGAGGACCTTGGAAGGTAGGGGGAGCACCCTGGGTTGGCCTAACAGCACCCACCTACCCTTGCACAGGGCCTGCCTCCCTCACCCCTCGATGCCCCTGCTGACCTTTGGCCCTGACACTGGGCTGTGACTTGGATTACTTTTCAGAGGATTGTTTCGAGGTGACCAGAGAGGCCATGCTCCATTTGGGCATCGAGACTCCCACCCAGAACAACGTCTTTAAGGTAAGAAGAAGAGCCTGGCCACTTAGATTTGGTGGAGGGGACGGGCAGCCCCTTGTCCACAGGGCCTTCTCGGAACTTGTGAGTCTCTCGCTGAGAATCTAGGACTTTGGGCTCTGCTGCACAGTCTCCAAGGAGAGGACCACCCCTCTGTGCCACTGAGCCTGGAGACAGGGTCAGGGTGGACAGGGGCATAGAGAACAGTGATGGAGCACATGTGGTTTAGAACATGGCAGTGATACACGGAGGTCAGAGGGCAAGGTGCTTAGATCAGCTATTACTGCAATAATCAAAACAGAGAAATAATGCTACCTCATGTTTGTCTAGTGTGTTAAAATTTTAAAGTCATGTTCACACCCCTTAGTTCACTTGGTTTTTACAACAGCCCTGTGTCTATGCAGATTATTCCCCTTTTCTGTGAGGAAGATTGGCCCTGAGCTATATCTTTGGATAATCTTCCTCTTTTTGCTTGAGGAAGAGTGTCACTGAGCTAATATCTGTGCCACTCTTCCTCTGTTTTGTATGTGGGACACCTCCATAGCATGGCTTGATGAGCAGTGTGCAGGTCTATGCCTGGGATCCAAACCCGCGAACCCAGGGCCACCAAATCGGAGCACGCAAAGTTAACCACTACGCCACTGGGCCAGCCCCAAGATTATTCCCATTTTATGCTCGAGAAAGCTAGAGAGGCAAAGTGACCTACAAAGGTCCGACATCACTAAGTGATACAGATAGAGTTAGTACCAGATGCAGTAATTCTGACTTCCTACCATTTTTACCCTCCTCTCAGGACATAGTGCTGACCCAGGTGAGCTGGGCCCCTCTCATCCCTACTATGGCCTCCCTTCTCCCATCTGTCTCTGCTGAGAGGGCTGACTCCTCCCTCCCCTGTCACCTCCTCACCCACCCACTAACAGGGCTGGCAACAGAGAGAGGGAAGCCACTGCAGGGAGATGGCAGTACGTGGAAAATTATCTCCACCTCCACATGGGGGCTGCCCAGGCAGGGAAGGGATCACGGCCAGTATGGGCACTGCCAGGCAAGAGCTTGGCCAGAAGGACGGAACATGGGGACAAGTCCAGGGCAAGTGGACAATGCTAGGAGTCCCACCAGGAGTGCTGGTTTGGGGGTGGCATGACTCTCTGCCCTACACTGCCCATTGGCACAGCAGTCTTCTCCTGGGGTGTGTTGTGGCCGAAAAGCCTGTAGCATGTGGAGCCACCCTGCCTGGGACCGGACACGGATGATGGGAGAGGCGCTGCTCTCTCGATACCAGGGTTTCCAAGTTGCTGGACCTGGGGGGTCTCTTTTCTACAGCCCCTGGGGGCTCATCCATGTGGATCATTGAGTGCAAAGGCAAGAGGGCACCCATTGTACAGAGACCAAGATCACAGATCCTCCCCAGGCTGGGCTGTCAGAATCCCAACAGTGCTGAGAGAGGGCCAAAGGAAGCCAGAGCCAAATTCCCATCAGACACAGAAGTAACCTGGTCCAGCAGTAACAGGAGTAGTGTTCCCACACAGTCTGCTCCTAGAGAGTGGGAGGCAGAGGGACAGACAGTGAGTAACATGGGGTCCCACTGGCTGCTCTGGGAGGCATCTGAAGTCCACTGCCTGGGTTCTGATCGTACCCTTCACCTTTACCAAGAGTGTGGCCTTAGGCTTGTGACTTAACCTCTCCCCGTCTCATCTCTGTCATGGGCATCATAACAGCACATGCCTCACTGATTGCTGAAAAGATTAAACAAGATGGTGCATATAACTTGCACCAAATCGTGCCTGGCAGAGTCATGTAGTAAGTGGGCAGTCATTGGGAACTGCTATTATTCTGTTACGATTGTATTCAGCAGGAGAGAAGCCCTTCCCAGGCGAGGCTCCAGCCCCTGGGAAGGTGCCCACTTCGTCTCCTCTCCTGCCCCTCAGGTCCTAGCTGGACTGCTGCACCTCGGCAACATCCGGTTTGCTGACTCTGAGGACGAAGCCCAACCCTGCCAGCTGATGGACGATGCCAAGTGTGAGGGCAAGGGTCAGGGCCTGCACCTCAGGCTTTGGTCACACTCCAGGGAGCAGGGCAGGCCTTGCCCAGAAAAAGAGCGAGCCTTGGCGGGATTGGGTGGGAGGCCAGAGGGTGAAATTTGGAATCTGATACCCTTGATGGAACCATCAGCTGTAGGGCCCTGCCCTGGATAAGTTACTCCTCACCCCATCTGTGGTGAGACAGACAACATGGTCCCTGTTTTACAGATGAGAAAACGAGAATCAGAGAGTTCGTAAAGTGATTTGTCCCACACGTGGCAGTGTGGACTAGGACATAGAAGTCCTGAGTTCCAGTCCTGCCTCTGCCACTTATGGAGGCTGTCAGTGAGTCTCCTCACCCACCAGAACATAGGTCTCTTCTGTCCAGTTGAGTGGTCGTGGTACTGTGACAACTGCACTGTGCCTTGTGAAGAGGGCTGTTTGGATGGAGGGTGATTTGTCCCTCCTAGGCTCTGTCAGGACATCGGCCTTGCTGCTGCTGCTCCCAGAAGACCCACTGCTGGAGACACTGCGGATTAGAACCATCAGGGCAGGCAGGCAGCAGCAGGTGTTCCGGAAGCCCTGCTCCCGAGCCGAGTGTGACACCCGCAGAGACTGTCTGGCCAAACTGGTCTATTCACGGTGAGCAGCGCCCTGCCCCCTGCCCTCCCCCCAAGTTCTCCCTCTCTCTGGGTTTGGACCAGACACCATCAGCAGCAGGCCTAGGGTGAGGTTTGCCAGATAAAGCAGACCCCTGGGGAGGTGGCTCCTGGGTTTTCCCCAAGCAAGGCCCCTGGCCTTGCTTCCTAAGTACTCTGCGTGGGGAAGTTGCCACATTCCTGGCCTAGATGCAGTTCATTACGAAAGTACAGGAGCCTACCTTGACATTAGTGATAGGTGAAGAAAACCTGCCTAGCTCTCTGCTGGCAAGGTAGGCCCCAAAGGTGATCTAGGGCCCTCATAGTTCAGGGTCAGACTCATGGGTGAATAGGCTCCTGTCTCCATGTGCCCTGTCCTTCAGGTCTTTGTAGTCACCTGGGGAATTTGATAGATGGTGGCAGAGCCAGCAGCTCAGCTCACAGTCTTGAGCAACACAGTGTATAGCAAGTGGGAGCCCAGAACAGGGCGAACGTAGGGGTCCTGGCCTTTTCCTGTTGGGTTACATAAGCATCTCTACGCTCTGGCCGTGTGGTTAATGATGGTTTCTCACCCTGGGTTCTGAGAACCTTCAAGATGCCTTGTAAGGGCATCAAGGGGCCCAGAATTCTCTGAAATTATGGGACAGAACCTGTGTATTTGTGTGTGTGCATGAGCACATGGCAACTTAGACACCCTTCTGGGGAGAGGGTCCCCCTGCTTTAATGAACTTCTCAAAGAGCCAAGAGCCTGAGAAGCACTGCTGAGGAAAAACGACCCCAGGGCAGTGGGGCCCAGACTGAACCCATTTCAGTAAGAGATTCAGTTCCTGTTGCCTCGAAGCTAATTTCAGGCCAAAGATTTTTAAAGTCTTTGTGTCAAGTTGCTGCAAAATGAGTAGATAAAATTAAGTGTGATGATCACAGAGTGGACCTCTAACAATAGAACACTTCACACACAGTAAATAACAGGTCACTTGTTTTTAGTACCTCTGATGAGAATTTGAAGCCCTTGTTGCAAAAACAGAAACCAGTTGAAAAGAGTTGCAGAGCAATTACTTTAAGAAAAATTATAAGGAAGAAACCCCTTAATAATGTTGTACATGTCACCATGTTGTACCATAACTACCTCATCTTCTGGGGTAGGGATGGTTCCAGAGTGCAAGATGCCACTCTTGGCCTCAGGTGACTCGGGTTCACTTGTACAGGACTGAGTGGGGGACACGGCGGGGCAGGGCCTTGAGCTCTGGGCTCCACAGGTAGAGTTTTCCTCGAGTCTAGTCAATTTGGTTCTTTACAAACCCCACCCAGGCTTGCCCAATAGCCCCTTCTAGTCAAGACAACAGCCGGCTGTCAGGCCATGTGACTGATGCAGACCCACTCCCTGTCTGGACCCAGAGTCTCATTGGTCCTGTGCTCAGTCTTGCTGGGAGGACAGGCCATGTTTGTGTGTACCTGGGAACATGCACGACCACAGCGTGCATTTGTAGTAGGTCCAGACAGCATGGGCAGGAAACAGGAGAGGGTTTAGGCCTTGACCCGTCAGGCTCAGAATACAGGCCCTCCAGGGTGTGGCACCCTGGCTGGAGGTGTAATTTTGCCACCCCTCAGGCTCAGCCTCACCTCCTCTCACCAGGTTCCACTCTTCCTCCCACCCCAACAGGCTGTTTGACTGGCTGGTATCGGTGATCAACAGCAGCATCTGCGCAGACCCGAGCTCCTGGAGCACTTTCATAGGTAGCAGGGGCTCACCTTGCTAGGAGCACTCCTTCAGAAAAAGAACAAGAGAGCCCTGGATGAGAGGCAGGAGCACTGTGTGACTCCAGGAGACTCCTTTCCCTTCTCTGCACCCCTCCCTCTTCATCCGTCCACGAGTGTTTGGGAGAGGACATCTCTGTGTACATCTGCCCTGTCCGTAGCTCTCCAGGAAGACTCAGATGGTGCCTTGTCTGTCAGGGCCCTTCTCTCCCTAGAGACTCAGCTCCAGTCTCAGGAGAGTAGTAGGGGAGAGGTAAAAGAGCTGGCTTAGAAGGCACCTGGGGACATGATAACATCGTTGGAACCTGGGTGTGATAGTCAGGTTGGGGAGGAAGTAGAGCTCAAAGGCACCAGTGAAGTTTGCTCACGGAATGGTGGAATCCTGGGCACCAACTGAGCTGGTGAACCAAGGCCCTCCAGACTGGAGTGGACACAGAACATGTTCCCTGGGACCTGGTTCCCTCACAGGAGGGGCCTACCAGGACCAGAGGATTCAGACTCAAAAGTGGACCTGGTGCCCTGGGCTGCCCCTCACTCTTCATTCGGCCTCTCTTCCTGCTCTGAGTTCTGAGGGGCCATGAGGCAGAGATAGGAACCACCCTGGGGTCGTGTGCGGTGGGATGCTCACTCAACCTCATCCCCAGGCTGCCAAGTATGAGGCTTGAGCAGGAGCCTAGCCACCCTGGGCTCCTGTAGTACCCCCGACCCACCCCACCTGTTCCCTGCAATGGCCCCATGGTTCTTCCCCATCCTCCCAGGCCTGCTGGATGTGTACGGATTTGAGTCATTTCCCCACAATAGTCTGGAACAGTTGTGCATCAACTACGCCAACGAGAAACTGCAGCAGCACTTTGTGGCTCACTACCTAAGGGCTCAGCAGGTGAGGCTGGGGCAGGCCTGCTGTATCCTCTGTCTCTTCCTGACTCCTCAGCCCCATCCCAGGATCTGACCAGGAGCCTTTTGTTCCTTCTTTGATGCTGTTCTGGAATATGCTGTGGTACTGAGACCAGCCATGGGATGGCCCATCTGGGCCTCAGACCATAGCTGCCTTCTACCCCCGCCCCCCGACTTTTGCTCCCTAGGAGGAATACACAGTTGAGGGCCTGGAGTGGTCATTTGTCAACTACCAGGACAACCAGACCTGTTTGGATCTCATCGAGGGAAGCCCCCTCAGCATCTGCTCCCTCATAAATGAGGTGGGGAGGCTCAGCTAGTGTGCTGAGCACCAGAGTTGCACTTTGGGCTTTTCTGGGGCCTTGAAGACTATCCCTCTCTGTGCCTCTGTCTCCCCATCTGCCACATGGGTTTGCTAATCCCTATATTCCCTCCCTCTCAGAGTCACTGTGATGCTGGTGTGACATCTCTGCTGCCATGGGGGCCACAGGGTGGGGACTGCGAGGGTTGTGGTGAGCCCTCTCATTTTTGTGGCTGACTGCCAATCCTGCCCCACACAGGAATGCCGCCTTAATCGGCCAAGCAGTGCAGCCCAGCTCCAGACACGCATTGAGAGTGCCCTAGCAGGCAGGCCCTGCCTGGGCCACAACAAGCTCAGCCGGGAGCCCAGCTTCATCGTGGTGCATTACGCAGGGCCTGTGCGCTACCACACCGCAGGCCTGGTGGAGAAAAACAAGGTGAGGGCTGGGCCAGGGCCTGCGCGAGCCTGCTTGGAAAGAGATGCTGAGTCATTCTGCATGTACACAGTAGTTTCCTATCGTGTGTCCTCTCCCTCCTGAACATCCTCCCAGAATCCAGGATCACCTCCTGGGCCTACCTGCCTGAGGTCTCTGCTAATCAGACATGACCTGCCCAGAAATGACTCATGTCACACTGGATCTCCTAGTTTCTAGGCATCCAGTGGACCAGCTCTTCTCTCTGTCTTGGGCCCTGCCCTCCCTGGAAGCCCTTCTTCTGGGGCCTGGGTGAGCAGGGCTGGCAAGCCCATGGGCAGCCCAGGGTAGCATTCCACCTGCCCTCACCCACTGCACTTGTCTTTTCCCAACAGGACCCCATCCCCCCTGAGCTGACCAGGCTCCTGCAGCAATCCCAGGACCCTGTGCTCAAGGTGCTGTTTCCTACTGACCCTGAAGAGAAGTCCCAGGAGGAACAGGGACAGAGCAGGGCCCCTGTGTTGACCGTGGTGTCCAAGTTCAAGGTGGGTCTGGTGGTGCTGATGTGATGTGTTTGGTTCTCAAATGTTTACTGAACATCTCCCAGAATTGGTGCTGTTTGCTGAGGAGCCTTGATGAGTCACATAGACATGGCCCTGGTCTGCACAGAGTTGATAGTCCCATGTGGAAGACGAGACAAGAAACACACAAATAGACTCTCTGGTATAATTGACATGACGGGAAGCCTAGGGGCCTGTGGGTGGTACAGTGGGAGCCTCTCACCCACTACTGATAGGGTGCTCGTGGAAAAGCAATAGTCACAAGAACCTCGGTGGCCCATTCCCAGTTCTCCACCTTCCTTCTCAAACTCCGTCCTCAGCTTGAGCACATTTGTCACCTCCTCCAGTATCTTATGCTTTCTACTGTCTCTCAGCCCTTGCATATTGTGCTTCACCATCCTGGGATGCTCCTCACCACTGCCCCTTCAATTCCACCCTCCATGCCACTTTGCTTAGTTTACCCTTCTCACCCTTCAGACTTTTGTGTTACCATCTCCTCCTTGAGGAGGCCTCCTGGGGTGCCCAGGTTTGAGTAGCACTTTCCTGCCCAGCAACAGACACATCATTGAGGGGACCCATCCAACATCTGTGTGGCCTGTTAGACCCTGAGCTCTGAGACAGCAGCAGACTGCCTGTGTCACAGCCCTGGCACAGCTTCCAGCACATAAGACAGGCTTAATAATAATAGCTGTTGCCTGAATGGATTGCAGGGGTTTCTGAGATTGTTCTCTTGCAGGAGGATTGCCCTTGTGAGGAAGATGAGTCGGGGGGAGGCTGGGCCAGATGCAGGGAGACCAATCAGGTGGAGGGTCACACATCAAGAAGGTCCCTGGGAGGCAGAGGTGAGGAGCAGTGGGAGGTCAGGAGAGGAGTGTGCTTTGGGCACACTCAGTGAGAGCCTCGAGTGGTCATCCCAGAGCACGTGAGTATCCTGGTCTTGGGGCTGCGAGGGCTGCTGGAGGTGTTTGATGTGGTCACTAACCAGGGCCCAGCTGATGCCCCCAGGCAGCCCCAGTCCCTGCCTGACCCCACGGTCTCTCCCTTCTGCAGGCCTCCCTGGAGCAGCTTCTGCAGGTCCTGCATAGGACCACACCCCACTACATCCGCTGCATCAAGCCCAACGGCCAGGGCCAGGCGCAGACCTTCCTCCGGGAGGAGGTAATTCACACTGAGCCAGAGCTGCTTTGCAGAGAGTCCCATCTGGCCAAGGCCCTGGAGGGATGAAGGGCAGAACATCTGCTCCAAATGGAGTGACCGTAGGGGGCCTCCCAGGTTGGGCCTGACATTAGGGAGGGCTTGTCTCCCCTGCTTTGTCTGGACAGTCACGTATGGTTGTGTGGTCTGTGACCTAGTGAAGGAGGCAAAGGGACTCCAGTGCATCTTGTTCTCTGCTCACCAAGCCATGTACCCCAATGAGAGACTGAAGCTGCCCAGAGGAACGGGTGACTTTTGTGATTAGCTGAAAGTCTGTGTCACCTTACATTCTGTGCACAGTGTGGCCATTTCTGACTGGAGGTATAGTTTTTTCTAATTTGCACAAAAGCACTCTGGCCAGCAGCTGCCCTTTGCTCAGAGTACTGGGCTTCAAGGGATGTGGATGAGGTGTGAGTGGTGGACGATGCTGGAAAGCGCCCCACAGTCAACTGGTAGATGTGGCTTAAGGTTTATAGCCAGGGCCACTTTCCTCTGTGGTAAAGACCTTCATTCAGGTCCCAGAAGAATCTTCACAAAATAATCTCCCCTGCCCCTCAGCTGTGACTCACTCTATTGCCTGCAAAATATAAAATAAATAAAAAAGAGGAATTGGGTTGGGCTGCATTGTGTAGCAGAGCACCTCTGCGCTGCCAGGACTGGTGAGACAGAGCCAGCACCTGCCTCTACTGTCTCAGAAGCCATGCATCAGATAAGGGGACCTGGGGCCTCCAGGAGCCTTTCCAGCAGGGAGATTTTCTCAAGGCCCCTTGATTTCTCACTGCCTCAGAGAGTATACCCCCATCAGCTGAGCCTCAGGAGAGCCTGCAGGTCCACACCAGTCAGGTCACAGGAGCGGCATTTCTGGCCTGCCGGCCCCATGTGGCAGGTACCCACCCTGTCTCCCCACCCTTGCAGGTCCTGAGCCAGCTGGAGGCCTGTGGCCTCGTGGAGACCATTCACATCAGTGCCGCTGGCTTCCCCATCCGGTGAGTGGGCCAAATACTGCAGGGGGCAGGGCCAATGCCAGGGTGGAGCTCAGCACTCAGGCCCGACCAGAGCCTGCCCAGACCAGAGAAGGATAAGGACGTGAGGAGAAAGAGGTGGATCTGCGAAGTCAACCTGGAACTCAAGGGGCTGCACATGTTCATTTTTCCATTCACTTTCTTTGCACTATTTTGTACCAGGCACTGTTTCTAGTATATATCAGTCAATAAGGAAGGTGAGTCTCTGCCCTCTTGGGGCATACATTCCTGTGGAAACAAGAACGAGAAGTCTAAAGTAAATCAGTGCTAGGAGAGAAACCAAGACTGCTGTTAGGTAGACTGACAGGGGAAGAGGCTCCTTGGGCTGGTCAGGGAGGGGCCCTCAAAGCAGTCAGGCCTCCAGGAAGTGAAAGGGCCAGCCTGGGAAGGTTTGAGGTGGGAGAGCATTGCAGACCAAGGGAACAGCAACCTCAGAGCTCCCAGGTTAGGAACAGGGAGATGCTAAAGTGACTGGAGCATAGAGAACCAGGAACGGGAAGAGAGGGGCGAGGAGCCAGCACCTCGTAGGGCACGCTGGGACTTTGCAGTTTATCCTGAGTGCCATGGAAGCCACTGGATATTCTAAGGAGGGAGCACTGTGCTATCATTCATATTCTAAGAAGATCCCTGTGGCTGCTGTGCGGAGGTTGGACATAGGGTCAGGAGAGAAGGGAGGAGATGAGTGAGAAGGCTGTGACAGGTGCGCAGGCCAGATGGTGGCCCAGATGAGGGTGGCAGCAGTGAAAAATGGAGAGAAACGTGTAAGATTGGTGTATGGCTTCAACAGAAATAGGACTGTGGATTGATCCACCAGGGGGTATTGGGCAGGGGAGCAGTCAACTTCCAGGCCACAGAAGCAACTTCTAGGCTTCCGTCTGGGCAAATGGATGAATCAGGAGAAAGTTCTCCCAGATAGGATGGTCTGGGGAAGGCCCAGGTTGGACGGTGGGAAGCGAGGGCAGGGTCAGGAGTATGGCCTCATCAGGTTTGAAACGGCTGTGAGACAGGCTCGGGGCTCAGTAGAGCTTTAAGAACTGGAGCACATGCGGGTCTTAACACCATGAGCAAGGAGGAAATCACCTAGGGGGAGAGAGAGGGGGTCTGCAGCCATTCCCTGAAGAATGCCCACATCCTGAGAGGATGAGACACCAGCAACAACAACTTGCAAGGAGCCATGGGTGAAGGAGGAAGCCAGGATAGTGGGTGTCCTGGAGGCTGAGAGAGAGAGCTCTCCAAGGGAGAGGGGTCAGCTGGGCACCTGCTGCCCACAGGCTGGGCAAGAGGAAGACCGAGCACTGACAACTGGATTTGTGGCACAGCCAATGGCTGTGACGAGAGCCACACTGGTGCAGTAGCACTG